CAGGGAAGACTCCCAAAAGACTGGACTGTGTCTACCGTAATACTTATTCACAAAGGGGGCAACGAAATGTGCTTTAACTATAGGCCAGTAAACTCGACCTTGGTCATAATGAGGATACTGAAGCGCATTATAAAAAGAGGATTATGATAGCATATGTGCATAAACCTCATCCCAAGATCGGCAAAGCTGTTAGCGTCCGTTATTCTTTGTAGATTAATCAGGACACGTGAGGAGCATGCCCCCGAAGAGCAGGCTGGGTTTTGCGACGGCCGTGAATGCACCGATCATATCTTCACCCCCCGACAGTTGTTGGAGCACCGTAGTGCTTACCACAGTCAAACCTTTGTTTAAGTCTTTGTCTTCCGTTCCCAACCCTATCCCTTTACCCCTTCTTCCAACCCGTAACAGTCCCTCAGGCAACGTGTTCGTCACTCGCCAAAGTTCGCCGCCAAGTAGCCCGGTAAGTAGTTTACCACAAAATAAATTGCAGATTCTGGAGCCTCGTCAGCCACTGAATCTGGGGGCGTACAACGTAAGGACTCTGATGCAGATAGGTCACCAAGCGTGCCTGGCGCGTACAATGGACTCTTTGGGGATTGATGTCTGTTGCGTATCGGAGACACGAATCCAGGATCCTATAACTAAAAACCATTTAAGTGCACCGGGGTTGTCTTCGAGGTTCTTCCTCCGCACATCAGGTGATAATGAAGCCCGTTCAGTAGGCCAGCGTGGCGTGGACATAGTACTTAATAATAAAGCCGAATCTGCACTACTCGATTGGAACCCCGTCAATAGTCGTTTATGTGCAATGCGGCTCCAAGGGTTCATTAGAGTCCGGAAGGGAAGCAACACCAAAAGGTGTGTGTTCATCATTTCAGCGTATGCTCCGACGAACTGCAGTTCTGACGCACAACAGGACAACTTTTGTGATAAACTCACCGAACACATTTGGCTGAGGCGAAGCTCCGATATGGTTGTTCTCGCACGTGATTTTAACGCTCAACTTGGAAAACTGAGTGCATCGGAAGCTTGCCTTGGCGGTCAGTCTGCTCTGCCCTGCCAGCGAACAGATAATGGCGATCGACTTCTTCAGTTCTGCGCATATTATCATCTGTTCCTATCCAGTACCAACTTCCGTCACAGCTCTCAACGTGGCGCTCCAATTTAACTGGTATACTAACTCAACTCGACCACAGCAGTAAACTACCGTTGGTGTGGCTCAGTAAAAAACTGCAGGTCCTATTGGACCACCTGCGCTGAATCTGATCATGCATTAGTGTTGATGCAGTTCACTCCCCAGCTCACGGGTCACAAAAGCACCATAAAACACGGTTGACAGATCATCATTTATCTGATCCAGCCGTTCGTGCCCGTTTTAAATCAGAACCAGGGCAAGAGCTAAAAGCGGGGTGATGAACAAAGGGATCAGATTAGACGAGCAATGAACTCCGCTGCGAGAGTTGCTTGTGGGTCTAAAGAGGCATCCCACCCGAGGCATTGGATATCTGATGATTCAGTAGCACAAATGGAGGAAAAGCAGCAAATTCCCATCGCCCGGGATCAAGGCAGGGGTAGGTGGCGTCTTCAACGACAACTCAAGAAGAGACTCCAGAAAGACTGTGAGAACTAGTGGGTAAAGATAGCTTGTGAAATGGAATTCGCAGCTGCATCAGGGAACAGTCAAGGATTGTTCCAACTGATACGCAACACTGGAGGTTGGAGAACCAGTTAGAGGAACAATCTGTTACAAAAGTGGAAAAGCTATTCGCAATAGAGAACAACGGCTTGACCAGTGGGTGGAGTACTTCAACGGACAGTTCAGCTGTCCCGGTGCTAACCAGACTATATCGTTTGTTGTAGTTTCGACTCCATGGGAAGTGGTTTGTGAACCTCCTACTGCAGCAAAAGTTCGACCATGTATCTAAGCCCTGAATAAATGAAAAGTAGCAGGACCGGATGTGCTTCCTCCGACTCTTTTCAAGATGGGAGGCGATGACCTTGTATACTCTATTACTGATTTAATGTAAAACATCTGGTCACATAAGCGCATTCTATATGGATTATATCATCCTGGAATAAATCACTGATCGTTCCAATTTTTAAAAAAAGGATCTCGCAACGACTGCGCAAACCACTGTGGAATAAGTTTGATTTTAGTCGTCACCAAGTTGCTAACCTTCACCATACTTCGATGTCTGGCACCGTTTAGGGGGTTAAACATCCGCGAACAACACGCAGGATCTCGACCAGGTTGCAGTTGTACCGATCAAATCTTCCTTCTGCGTCAAGTCCTAGAGCTTCACTATACGCACCGTCGACCAACCGTTGTCGTGCTCCGTAATGGTGAATCCCTTATGAGTTCGCTCCTTTGCAAAGGAATGCCGCAGAAGTACGTGAACATACTGAGTTCACTCTACTCCCATACTTTTGGTAGCGTAAGGGTCCACGGCGAGCTAAGAAGGTCGTTCGTAACTAGCAGCGGTATTCGTCAAGGGTGCCCTCTTTAGACATTCCCGTTCAATTTCGTCATAGACAAATTACTGGAGAAAGTACTAAGTTTTCTCCAAAATGTGGGTAATGAATGGGTAGCCGGAGAAAAGTAGTGCGATTTGGAGTACATTGACGACATCGTCTGCTTGTTCGAAAGTATTGCGGATGCAAAAAGAGCACTCGACAGATTAGCAAGTTCTGTCTCTCCGTTCGACATGTGCTTTGCACCTTCAAATGCAAAATGATGCTGCAAGACTGGATGTCGCCGAGTTCCGTTCTAAACCTAGACGGTCAGGAATTAGTTGTAGTCGACTGCTTCTCGTACTTAGGTAGCTGTATGACCAACAACAGTAGCGCATCAAAGGAGATAACCGCCCGCATTTCCAAGGCTCGAGCAGCATACGCAGGACTTAAACACCTGTGTCGGCGAGTTGACGTTTCACTAAAGTTGAAAAGTTGCGTATACTGCACCACTGTGCGATCAGTTCTGCTTTAGGGTTATGAAAACTTGAATTTACGGATAGAAGACTTCCGTTGTCTAGTGGTTCTCGACGATTGATGCTTACCTAGTCTGGTCAAAGTGGGATGGAGTGAGCGGGTTAGTAACTTAGAATATCGAACAACAACTCGCTATCTCATCGAATCCAGCTACATAGGCTTCCATGGTTAGGACACATGTTGCGTATGTCCGACGGTTGCCTACCACAGCGCCCCTTATTTGCAGTTGTTGCTGCAGGCTGGAGAAAGTCACGTGGGGGGCAGCAGATGACGTGGAGACGATAAAGAAATGCACAGAGCGATTGGGTAGAGTAAGTGTCACTCATCATCCGGGTTGGGTTTCAAAAGACTCCACAACCGTTTGGTTGAAGACACTGAAGGTCATGGCTGCTAACTGATCAGCAACGGTGATCATGATGTCACTTCTTACCAAACCATCATGCTTGAAATAGTATGTATGCACAGTTGGACTGTTTACTCTGTGTTGACTATCGAGGTTCGCTTTCTTTTCTCGTCCCTAAAATTAAGTCCAAACTCTGTCCTCCTTACACATTCTCACTTAACTTGTACGTAATATGAGTTTGGCAGTGATCAGTGAAGTTCGCTTCACTGTATTACGCTGTACAATGATGATGAAGATTTTAGGGCCTATGTTCAGCTATTGCACCCTTTTTCGTCGGGAGTGGAGTTCGAAAGGGCTTCCGTATATCTCCATTTCTCTTCAACTTTGTCATAGAGGATAATCTACTGAATGCTTTGTCTTTTCTAGCAAACGGAGTCGAAATCCTCCTTTGAAACAGAGTTCTTGACTTAGAAAATGACGATAACATCGCCTTGGGTGACAATACACAGGTATTCCAACACGCTTTGAACAGCTTGGTGATACATGTATCCAGGTATGGTGTGTTCTTTGAAAAGTCCAAGCGCGAAGTGCGCTTACAAGACTGGAAGGTGTCTGTGTCTGTACTCGACCCTTCCGGTGATCAGAGAGAAATAGTCGAGGGCTTCAAGTACCTCGGGAGCTTAATCGTAGCTGGTTAAGGTATTGAGGAGAAGATCGCATATATCGAAAACTAGAACAGCTTTTGCCAACCTGCGACACCTGTGGCGCCGCCATGACATCCGACTGTCCCTTGAAGAAAAGGGCGCATATCACTGCTCTTTGTATTCTTTTACTTTATTGCCAATGGTTCGGGACGTTGAGGCCCATTATTCAGAATGAAAGTCAGTGACACGACTGTTGTGCGGTTTGTTTGTTAAAACCCCGTTTCCCATAACTGACGAAAAAACTTAAAATAATTTGTACGGTGAAACAGACAAAACCTTATTCAATAATTGATTTGTCCTCCATTTTCTATGTTTTCCCTATTTTCCTTTCATCAGTCTGTACCCCTAGCTACAGTTTATCATTCGTGTTGCACTGGCACCAAATTTTTTTCTCAATTTAATGTTATATATGTATCAACACACCACAAAAGGCTCAAATTAGTATGATCTTGCCAGCGTGGTTTCTTGCAGCGTAGTTTCTGTCTCTCAAATCCCATAGTTTTCCCCGACAGGGTGACAAAGCGATTGGAGATGAGAGAATAGGTAAGTGTGCTACCTAGACTTCAAAATATACTTCAATTCAGTGAATCATAGGCTATTCCCTCGAAAACTGAAAACATTCAGGATAGCACCAAGATTATAATGGTGGACATTGGAGGGAGACACCTCCAGGTTAGAGTATAAGAATTCCTATGACCAAAAGGATAATCGATGAGTGAAGTGCCTTAGGGTTTCGTGCTGGGGTTAGTGTAATTTTTATTATTTGTCATGACGTCCTCGATTCTGAAATCTCTCCTCCGGGGTATGCGTCATTCCATTCGGATCGAGTAAAACCAAGGGTGGGTGGGAGCGTCCTGCTGTTTATCCATGAAAATGTGCCGCTTACCCACCTCCACCGTTATGCGGGTCCTGACGGCCAGGAAGAAGCATCGTGGTGCAAAAGCAAACTGCGCTGCAACGGCTACATGACGATTGGAGTCTGGTACAGACCACCAGCGACAGTCCCGGTTGTCACCCTGGACGATATGCGTCGATGGGATAGTGACGGTCACTGTCTAACTTTGGGCGATTTCAACGTACCTCTAAACGACTGGAACGGAAACAGCTGCCTGCAGGGAGCTGACCGATTCTCCAGAGATCTTGCAGTTGTGAACCAATTGGCTCTGCATCAATACTCCTGCGAGCCCACCAGGATCAACGATTCTGCCCAGTCGGTTCTTGATTTGGTGTTATCTCCCCCCCCCCTTCCCGAACGTCGGACGTCGATACCATCGGCCATCTCCCACCACTCGGTTCAAGTGACCATACAACCCTCTTGGTACATTGGCGCTGTGGAGCTCCGTACTGTTCTTGACCACATTCCGGGCCCAATGTCTGGAAAGCGGACTATGATGGAGTGAGGATCGCACCACAGCTCCTCCCCTGAATGGCAACCTGCCCGCAGGGAGTCGACCTAGAATAGAATACCTTTCGGGAGGGCATTCTCGAACTAGTGAGTCTTTTCTCCACCGAAACGCTTCCGGTCACACGCAATGGGCTCCCCTGGTTTGACCACGAGCTCCGTAAGACGCCTAAAGGTCAAAACATGGCGTGAAAAGCGTTTCGCGAACATGGTTGCAACTATGACCGACACAAGGCACTGAGTAATGCCTGCTCTGTGATAAATCAAACAAACGACGGGTGTATGAGGAGTCACCGGCATCTAAAGCGGCCACTATTCCGAAGCGTTTCTACGCGTACCTCCGTCGCCGCACGCATGCAACGGCTGACATACCATCCTTGAAGTTTAACGATGCCCTGGTAGAAACAGATGGTGACACGACGGAAGCATTTGCGCAGCACTATGCGGACGTATGAGCCACTGATACAACATTGAACCTCTAACTGTCGTATTCTGCGCCGACGTTGTCTTGGCAAGCCATCTCGGTAGACGAAGTACCCGAATCGTTGGCAGCTCTGAAACCTTACCAATCACCGGGTCCCGACGGAATGCACCCCATTGTTCTGAAGGAGCTGACGCCGGTCGTTGCACCTAATTTGGTCATTTTGTTCTATCAATCACGAGCCGAGGGGAGGCTGCCTGTAGAATGGAAGGACGCGATCTTACGCCCTCTCTTCAACGGAGGAGCCCCTTGGGACCCCGCCAACTACCGCCCGGTCAGTCTCACCTGTATAACCTTCAAGGTGATGGAACGTGTACTCGCCAAGCGACTCCGAGAACACCTACCAAAAAATCTTCTGTGTCCGGAATAGCATGGGTTCCGTCCGCAGCGATCTTGCGCCTCAAATCTTCTACTTGCTCGGGAGCAATGGGCGTCTGCCAAGGTCTGTGGCCACGAAACGGACGTCATCTTCATTGAGTTCATCAAGGTATTCGCAAGGTGCCACACGGTCAGTTGTTGTAGAAGCTGATGGCTCACTGTGTCACAGACCCTATACAACCCTGGATTGAGGGTTTCCTCGTCCGAAGGACGTTCACTGTCAGAGTTGCCCAGACTGAGTCGCGTCGCTATCCAGTGGAGTGCCACAGGGTTCTTTTCTAGGACCTCTAATGTTCCTCCTCTTCGTGAATGACCTACCCTCCCAGTTAAATTCATCTTGCCTCCTCTACGCGAATGATGTGAATGTGCGGAAAGCCATGAGAACACCGGAGGACCACCATGCCTTCCAAGAGCATTTGGACAAGTTACACCACTGGGCTGATGTCTGGGAACTTCCAGTGAATTCGTCGAAATGTAATCATATGAGACTGGGACGGAAAACCCTGGATATTCCTTATCTGATGAACAACGTCCCACTGATTTCAACGACTACCGGGAAGGATTTGGGATTTATCATCTCTACTACCATGAAGACCCAGATGAACACCACTCAAGCATGTTATGGGGCAAGGAGCATGCTAGGTGCCATCCGTTGGTCGTTTGACGGCTTGTCGTTTACGGCCTCCAAGAAGTCGTTTGCCTCTCATGTTCGCCCCCGGCTTGAATACGATGGACGCGCTGTATAACCCTACACGCTTTCCGAAGTGGCCAACTTGGAACGGACACAGCGCTACGCCACCAAATTAGTCGCGGGACTTCGTGGGATCGGCTATGAAGGTCGGCTCCAGGCACTTGAACTCTAGCCGATTAGANATACCAGAGACTCCGCAGAGATTTGATCTATCTGTGGAAGATTCTTCGTGGCGACCTCGTACCGGAACTACGTGCTGTTTCCACTACGAGACTGCAACCGGACGCGCGGCCACAACCTCACCCTCCAAAAGCTGTAGCTGAAGGGGCTTTCTTTTGTTTATCGCCTTTCCCGGGGGGAGACTAATCTCTGGAATTCACTCCCGTCGAAGGTGTTGGGGGAGCAAAACGAGGCGCGATTCAAACGACGTATCGACGAGCACTTGGTGAGACAGTGGCAACTTGCAGACCATTGAGGGGGTTGCTATCGCTACCGGCGGTGAAGAGGCTCATACAGGGCGCGGCCTCTCTACCTTCTACGTATGAAGATGGGGATCCAGTGAAAGGGCTGGAAAACTCACGTTTTAAGTTTCCGGGAAGATATCACGTTGATGGGGAGGATGATGAATGACAGAGTGTAAACAGGACTTAGATGAAGTTGCTCAGTGCTTCAATATTGAAGTGTTCAATATAATGAAGATTTTGATGCATATGTGCATCAAACTCTTCAATGCATCAATGCATTGAAGAGCACCGATTAGCCCATTCTTGGGATGAGAGGCAGCTCCGTTTTGCTCTCACAGAACTAATTGTGGTTCTTACCAATCGCGCGTCCAGTTACTTGTGTTGATGGCGGTTTCATTGGCTTCCACCAACTGGAGTCAATAGATTATTTTCCGAAACCATTACAGCCTTGCTTACACCAAGTTGCGATATTCTGCTGTATATGTAGCTACCACAATAGCTATTGAAGATTAGTTCGCACACGAAACACGCATGCTTCCTGGGATGGCATATGCTATCTTAAGATAGTATATCTTTATGAATCTATAAACATAGCATGAAGAGGTTTTAAAACAACAGGAATTCATGAAAATACATCTTCATAAGTCAGCGATTTATAAATCTCTAAATTAAGATATAGATCGTTTTTCTATGCATAGGGATCATACTAGCAAGTTCTGGATCCTGAATTGAATTGTACCGGATTGATCTGATACGGGGTACTTGAAGTATAGTCTAGGAAGCAAGTGAATTAGGTTTATGTTTCTACCAGTCGATGGATTGCCTTAAAGCTCTGAAAAGCTTTGAAAACAGTTTAACTAAGCAGTAAATTTATTTCGAATACCAAATAATTGCTATTTTCCTACAAATCTTTAGTTTAACTGGTTTTATAATAGGTGGACCAACTATTTCGAGTAGTCGGCAAACATTGATGACCTTGACCTTCAGTTGTCTTGAAGTTCAGTTCAGTTCAGTTTTCACAGGAAGAATTGTGGCTATTGCCAATCGCGCGTCCAGTTCCTTGTGTTTTCGACGGTTTTGTTGGCTTCCAACACTTCGAGTCAATAGTAGTTTCTGAAAGGCAGAACGTTTGTGTGCAGTATCAGATCCCTTATAGTATTTCGGAAAGTAAAGCCTAACGATTAACTTTCAACATCCAAATTCAGGAAATACCACTGCCCAGCATTCATCTAGCCTTCTCTTGAAAGATTCGACA